TGTGACGCGCCCCACAAAGCTTGGGGGTGCTGGCCTTCTTTCTGAGTGCACCCTTGGGCCCTAAGTTCACCCTTGGGCCAGGTCACCTTCGGAGGAAAGGCGTCCAGGGTCCCTCTTTCAAACCTTGTGTATCGGCCTCCATCTGTGCCATTTCCTGTGTCGACTGAGATAAAGAGTCCTGGTAAAGGTTAATTAAACGAGTCTATTTGATAACCAAGGGGAGGAATTCGAACCCGGGAAACAGTCCATCAGAGCAGGCTGATGGAACCGCTCCAGGACGCGTGAGTGCAGGCACCGCTCATCTCTCGTTCACAAAACAGCGCACGTGCAGGCAAGAGGAAAAAAACTTACAACTAGATTTCACATATGTCCAAAAAGGGAGAGAGTACGTCTGGCTTTTCTCTAGATTATCCATGGAAGGTAACAAACAAGAATTCCCTGGTTCGGTGACCTCGGCCCCTCCTGGACCAGTTCAGCTGACCCCATCTCTTATCAACAGAGTGATTCAGAATTGCATTTCAGAAAACTTGCCAAGTCACGTAGCCAGAGCGTGCGCAGAAGAAGAAATCTTGGACTGAAATGACCACAGAACCAGAGACCCTCCTTCCCACGGCACCCAAGGACCAGGACACGACTGGAATTTGAAAGATGGACTCTTACAAGAAGCGAGGGGTCCCTCATTCAGGAAGATCCGGTGTTAGAATTCCTTCCCTACCCACCATAAGTGTTTACAGCCCTGTCATAAATGTTTAGAACCTCGTCTTAAATGTTTGAAGCCCACCAACCAAAACCTGCCCCACCAGCCTTTCCATGTGCCAGCCTGTTCTCCTTAACCTCTTAAATTTTGCCCCAAATCCTGAATCGGGGAGACAGACATGAGGTCACATGCCCCATGTCTCCCTGCAGGTCAGTCTCGCAGAATAAAGCTGATCTCTTGGCCAAGGGAAGAACTCCAATAACGTCCACCGGCGTCTGTGTCAGTGCACCTGTCCTAGGTCACGATGGTGGCTGCTGCTGATGTCTCAGTCTCTGGAGAGGTCCCACCTCTCACGGGGATGCACCCAGAGCCAATCAGCTGGCTGGGAAGTCCAAAGATGTTGGAAGAACAACATAGGATGCTGCAGACAAAAAAGCTTACATGTTGGGGGCCGGCCTGGTGGTGCAGTGGTTAAGTGTGCAGGTGCCACTTTGGCAGCCCGGGGTTCGCTGGTTCAGATCCCAGATGTGGACATGGCACCGCTTGACAGGCCATGCTGTGGTAGGCGTCCCACATGTAAAGTAGAGGAAGATGGGCACAGATGTTAGCTCAGGGCCAGTCTTCTTCAGCAAAAAAAAAAAAAAAAAAGCTTACATGTTGAACAGTACAAACTTCTTTGGATGAATAAGCTAATGTGCTGCATTCCTGTAAGGAGTAAAGAAGATTACACTCGATGGCGGCTACCTCCCCTGAACCCTAGAAAAGATAGAACTATTGATTTTAATGCTGTGCATTGTTTTTCCTAATTCCCTCATGTCTGGGTTCGATGATGCAGTAACAATTAGCACACCTGAAGCTGGAGAAAGCACAGTCACTGGAACAATTACTCCAAAGCCAAGAATTTCTTCCTAGGCTTTGACACATTCACTTGAGAGCACTGATGGTACAACTAATTAATGTTTCCTCCTGGGCAAGGACACTAGAGATGACCATTGGAAACAATAGCCAGGATGCAATCCTACTGATGTTATTTCAATGGGGACAATTGTATTGGGGATTGGATGACATGGGGATGGACAGAATGCTTCTGCCAAGACAAGAGCCAAGAGAGTCACTTTACAATTAGAAATGTGTAAAGAGAACTATAAAGAAGATACAAGGATTCTCTTTATTGGGCTTAATTCTTTTTTTTTTTTTTTTTTTTGAGGAAGATTAGCCCTGAGCTAACATCTGCCACCAATCCCCCTCTTTTTGCTGAGGAAGACTGGCCCTGAGCTAACATCCGTGCCCATCTTCCTCTACTTTCTATGTGGGATGCTGCCACAGCATGGCATGCCAAGCGGTGCCATGTCCGCACCCGGGATCCAAACCGGGGAACCCCGGGCCGCCGAAGCGGAACGTGCGAACTTAACCTCTTCGCCACCGGGAGGGCCCCTGGTTTGTTTTTTTATTGGTGACCCACAGCAAAGTTTGTCCACAGAGAGGGCAGTCTGGTGAGAACCGTGAATTCACCGGGCTGTGAGGCCGGCTTAAACAACAGGCTGGTAGGAACTATGCCTTTGTTCTACCCTGTGATTCTCCTTATGACGAACAACACAAGAGACAGAGGCGAAGGAACACGATGACCATCTCTGGAAGGGAAAGGATCAATGAAAACCAAGAGTACTCAAAAGAAAAATCACAAGAGTTGCTGTACCCAAAAGACTAGTTCTTACAAATGTTTTCTCCGGCTAATGTAAATTTAGAAAGGGAAAAGACAGTACAGACTAATATTGCTTGGCTTGGTCCCCCCATACAGAGACCAAAGGAAACTGAAAAGGTTTTTTGGTTTTTTTTTTTTTGATGAGGAAGACTGGCCCTGAGCTAACATCTGTTGCCAATCATCCTCCCTTCATTTTCCTTTCCTCCCCAAAGCCCCAGTACATAGTTGTATATCCTAGTTGTAGGTTCTTCTACTTCCTCTGCGTGGGGTGCCTCCACAGCATGGCTTGATGAGCGACGTGCAGGTCTGTGCCCAGGATCCGAACCAGCAAACCCCAGGGTGCTGCAGCAGAGTACGTGAACTTAACCACTCAGTCACAGGGCTGGCCCCCAGAATTCTTGCCCTTTGCTGCCTTTGTGAGGTCCCAGGATCTCTCAGCTGCAGCCTCCAGAGTGTGAAGAGCCTTCCAGCCAATGATATCCCATCCCCATTGCCAGAAACCACACGGGAGGAAGGAGTTTCCTTCTCCCCTCCCAGGTTCAGTGGCTGTGTCTGCAAAATAAACTGACAACAGGCAGATCAACAGGAGAAGAGGCATGACAGGAGCAATTTACTAATTTTTCATTTCATGTGCATGGGGGTATCAAGAAAAAAGTGCGTCCCCCAGAAAAGTGGGATTTGAGAGCTTATCTACCTCTTAATGGGGAAAGGGAGGGAGAAATTGTAACAACGTCCGTCTGAGTGTGGTGAGGGCTTCTAGTCTGCTCTCCTGGGATGAGTCAATCTTCTCTGGTTGATGAAACTCCCAGGGAGGTGATTTTAGTCAGAGAAGGAGAGTTCAGAGAAAGGCTTTCCAGCATTTGTTGATTCTCAGATGTCTTCAGCTCAAAATAATCTGGACGCCAGCACCGACTCTCCAAGCACCATTCTCTCTTCTCCCCTAAGGCTTCCACCTTAGGAAGCCTTAAGCCTTAAGAGTAAGCTTCCACCCAGATAAACAAAAATTGAGGGAGTTCATGACCACTAGACCTGCCTTACAAGAAATGCTAAAGGGAGTCCTGCAGGTTGAAATGTTAAACAGTAACCTGAAGCCATGTGAAGACACAAAGTCCTCTAATACAAATATAATGGCAAATATAAAAGCCAGTATTATTTTAATCTTGGCTTGTAACTCCACTTTTTTATATTCTACAGAATTTGAAAGACAAATGCATACAGTAATAATTTATAAATTATTAATGTAATGTGACACGTTAACAGAATAAAGAAAAAGCACAAGATTATGTTAATTGATGCAGAAAAATGACTTGACAAAATTCAACACTCTTTCATGATAAAAATACTCAATAAATCAGGAATAGAAGGAAACTACCTTAATGTAATAGGGCCATAAATGAAAAACCCCACAGCTGACATTATACTCAATGGTGAAGGACCGAAAGCTTTGCCTCTAAGGTCAAGAACAAGACAAGGATGTCAACATTACCACTTCTGTTTATCGTAGTACCGAAAGTCCTAGCCAGAGCAATTAATCACAAAAAAAAGAACTTGAAGGCATCTAAATTGGAAAGGAAGAAAAAAATTATCTGTGTTTTCAGACAAGATGATTTTATATGTTGAAAACCCTAAATAGTCCACAAAAAATCTGTCAGAACTACTAAACAAATTCACAAAGTTGTAGGATTCAAAATAGATACACAAAAATCAGTTGTGTTTCTGCACACTAACAATGAACACACCAAAAAAATGAATTAAGAAAACAATTTCATTTACAATAGCATCAAAAAAAAATAGGAATAAACTTAACCAAGGAGGTGAATAACTTGTACACTGAAAACTATAAAACATCACTGAAAGAAATTAAAGAAGGCACAAATAAATAGAAAGACATCCCATGTTCATGGATTGGAACACTTAATATTGTTAAGATATGGGGCTGGTCCAGTGGTGCCGCTGTTAAGTTCGCATGTTCTGCTTGGGCAGCCGGGGTTCGTTGTTTGAATCCCCAGCATGGACTTACACACTGCTCATCAAGCCATGCTGTGGTGGCATCCCACATACTAAATGGAGGAAGATGGGCACAGATGTTAGCCCAGGGCCAATCTTCCTCAACAAAAAAAAACAAACACAAAAAGGGTTAAAATGGTAAATTTTGCTGTGTATATTTTATCACAATAATTATAAACACTCAGAACAAGTGAAAAAAAACAAAAGATATAGACTTTGTAAGGGGAAATGAGGAGCGGGGTCATGTAAGCCCACTGTCAGGGCTTTGACTTGTGCCTCAGCAGAAAATCTGAAGGGCACGTTTTTCCTACAAACTCTGTGTTATTGACAAAACTCCCTTGGGATGGGTATTATCAGGTCAGACCACCTGCAGCTAAGAGGGGTTCAGCGACCCAAACAGAGAGGGAGTCTGTGGGTGTCCTTTGCCCAGCCGTGCAGGGTGAGGGGAGATAAGACCTTCTGGTCCGGGAAGGTACCTGGGCGTTAAGCCCAGATGTGACCTAATTAGACGGCAAGGGGCGGTGCTAGGGCTGATGGGCGTGGCCTGTCCGCCAGAATAAAGCGGGGGGCCTAAGGCTTGACTGGCAGTGTGGGCGGGGCTAACCCGGAGTTGGCAGGCCAGCGTTCAAATCGCTGCTCCCGGAGGCAGCCTCCTAGTTTTGTCCTCAGGTCTGGTGACCCGTTGCTGGGGGCTGCGATGGAGTCGGAGTGGGACGCGCTGAGGGCGCTGGGGGCGGTTACCGCCTTGTGGCTGCTGCTGAGGGTGACCTGGGAGGTGGGCCACTTAGTCTATGTCTACCTGCTGCCCCAGGCACGCCGGGGCGCCCCTTGGCTCCGGGCACATGGAGCCTGGGCAGGTGAGGAGCCAGGGCTCTGTGCCAAGTGGGTATGGGTGGGGGCTGCAGGAATGAGGACGGGTGACAGGTGAGGACCCCCGATCAGAACAGAGGCTGGAGGACTCCTGGAAGCAAGATAGGTGAAGGCTGCGGTGACCAGGGCGAGGGAGGCACCCAGAAAAGGCACAAGAAGGGCCAGGAGGGAGAGTGGAGGAGCCGGCAGGGGGAAGGATCTGGGGTGGGCTGAGCTTGGGCTGGGGCAAAGTCTGTGGCTGCCTCCTCCTGCCCTCCCTCCTCCTCTCGTCTCTAGTGGTGACAGGAGCCACCAGCGGCATTGGCAAAGCCTATGCGCACGAGGTGAGTCATGATGTCTTACAGCCTAGGGAATGCTAGGAGTTTCTGTCTGTTAGCTTGCAGCAGCTGCCCCTGCTAGACTGAAAACTGCATGCTTTATCTGGTTCCTTCAGATGTCCTCTCCTCCAGGAAGCCTTCCCTCTGGTCTCCAGGCTTCTACAGCCCCTCAACATTTTCCCATTGTCACCCTGATTTAGTCATTCAAAACATATTTATTGACCCCCTCTACGTGCCAGGCATCTTCCAGGTCCTGGGGGGTACAGCAGTGAACAAACTAGGTTTAAAAAACCAAAAGAACTTGCCCTCATGGAACTTATGTTCTAGTGAGGGGAGACAGGTGTAAATAAGATTAATAAATAAAATATACAGTGTGTCAAATGGTGCCAAGGGTTAAGGAGAAAAATCAATCAAGAAAGGAGAACAGGGAATCCTGGGGATGTGTGGGTTCCCATTTTTATATAGGATGATCAGAGAAGATGTCACTGAAAAGGTGAAATGGAGAAAAGACTTGAAGGAGGTGAAGGAGGGAGTTATGTGGATAATTGGGAGAAGGGATTTCCAGGGAGAAGAAACAGCCAGTGCAAAGGCCCTGAGGTAGGGAGAACTGCTTGTTAGAGAAGCAGAGAGGTGGCCACTGTGATTGTGTCAGAGTGAGAAGAATAGGGGAGTCGTAGGAGTTGAGGAGAGAGATGCAATTTCAGGGCATATCCTGGGGAATCTGGTAGGTTATCGTGGATACCTTACTATTTGCTGAGTGAGGTGGGATCCTGGGAGGGTTCTGAGCAGAAGAGGGGTATGATACTGTAGGGGGTGAGGGTGGAAGTAGGAGATCAGCTAAGGTGCTCTTGCACAACCCGAGCAGGAGATGGTGATGACTCAGACCAGGGTGACAGAAGTAGAAGTTCTTGGATTCTGGATTATTTTGAAGATAAAGCTGACAGGATATACGGAAAGGTTTGATGTGGAGTATGACTCAGCTTTTTACCTTGTAACCTGAAACCTTGCTAAACTCACTTCTTGGTTATTGTAAATTTTTTGTGGATTTCTTGGGATTTTTCTACATCATCTGTGAATAGAGATCATTTCTTCCTTTCCAGTCTGTATACCTTTCATTTCCTTTTCATGCCTTATTGCACTGGCTAGGAACTTCAATATGCTGTTGAAAGGAGTGGTGAGAGTGAAGATCCTTCTTTATTCCTGATCTTGGGGGAAAGGCATTTAGTCTTTAACCATTAAACGTAATGTTAGCTCTAGGTTTCATTTACTTATTTACTCATTTATTTACTTATGTGCCCTTTAGAAGGTTGAGGAAGGTCCCTTCTACCCCTAGCTTGCTGAGAGTTTTTATCCTTTGTCAAGTAATTTTTCAGTATCTATTGAAATGATCGTATGGTTTTTCTTCTTTAGTCTGTTTATATGGGAAATTACATTGATTGATTTTTGCAAATGTTGAACCAACCTTGCATTCCTGAGATAAATCCCACTTGGTCCTTTTTATATATTACTGGATTGGATTTACTAATATTTTGTTGAGGATTTTTTGTGTGTAAACTTATGAGTTTCTTTTCTTGTAATATCTTTGTTTGGGTTTTGGTATTAGGATAATGCTTGCCTCACAAAATAAACTACTACAAGATTTTTGGCCAGAACACCTCAAAGAATGGAGCTGCCATTACTGAGATGGGGTTGAACTGAGGGAGGACCAGGTTTGGGGAAAAACAGACAGGAATTTAATTTTGGACATTTTAAGTTTGAGATACCAATTAGGTATCCAAGTTGCAAAGTATGCAGCTGGGTATAGCACTGTGGAGTCCCGAGGGGAAGTCTGGGTGGAGATATAAATGTAAGCATCATCAACATAGCGATGCCATTTAAAGTCATGAGACTAGATGAGATGGCCATGGGAGTGGGTGGAGATGGAGAAGGGGAGCACAGTCTGAATCACCCCAAAGAGCTCCCTGGACCATCCAAAGTCAAGAGGCGTGGAAGATGAGGAGGAACAAGAAATGAGACAAAGTAGGAGGAAAACCAGAGTATAAGGGATGGAGAAGAGGTGTTGGAAGCCACATAAAGAATGTTTCCAGCAAGAGGCAGTGATCACCGTGTCAATCACCGCTGGGAGGTGCTGAGAATACAGCATTTGCTTTACCAACGGGGAAGTTATTGGTGACCAGAGTGGTTTGGGTGGCAAGGTCGGGGCAGGAGCCCGACTGGAGTGGGTATGAGAGGGTACGGGAGGAGAACAGTGTAGACAATCCTTTCTTGGAATGTTGAGTGAAGGGAGCAGGTGGGGTGAGAAGAAATGGGGCAACACCTGGACAGGGAAAGTGGGAGAGACCACAGCAGATTTGTATGCTGATGGGAATAATCCAGAAGAGCGAGAAGTCGTGATGCAGGGGAAGGTGGGAGAAAAGCTGGAGCAATGTCCTTCAGCGGGCAAGAAGGGAGGGGAAGCTAGGGCTGGAGTAGAAGGGTGACCCTGGGGGAAAGGGAAAGGATTGTGTTTAGTTGCAAGTCAGCGAGTCCTGATGGCCACTCTGGGTTATTGCTGGCTGAGAGTTGGTCTGTCCCACCTCTGCACTCTGAGCCCCGTGAGGGCAGTGCTGGGACTGTCTTGGTCAGGGCCACCGGCACAGGACCAGGCACAAGCAGATGCTATGCAAATGTTTGTGGAATGAATGAATGGCCTTCATAGCACCAACCTCTCAGATGCATGGAGCTGTTGAGATGTTTGTGCCTGGCCTCTCTCCGAAGCTGATGGACACTGAGCTCCACATAATACATCACCCTCAGACACACAGGAGGAGAGGGTCAGATGTGTGCCAAAATGCTACTTGGCGCCCATTCCACAAATATTTGCTAACTCTCTTTCAAGGGGGAAGGCATTCAGGGCAGAAGGAGCAGCATGTGCAAAGGCCCAGAGGCAGGAAAATCCAGGAGATACTTGTGGGGCTAGATGAACCATCTGTTGTGCCTGGACTCCCATAGAGAGCTGGTACCAGGTCACGTGGAGCCAGGGTGAGGAACATGGTTTTGTCCCAAGGGTCCTGGGGAGTCAAGACAGGAGAGGTAGGGGCAGGTTTGTGCTTTAGCAAGAGCCCTCTGGCTGCCGAGTGGAGGGTGAAGAGGAGGGAGCGAGACTGAATTTGCCACGGGTACCTTGTGTCCCCAGCACCACCCAGCAAAGAGCAGGTGCTCTGCAAACACACCTTGAACAAATATTTGAAGGAAGGAAGGAACAAACGCTTGAGTTATTGGACTTTTCTGTCACTGCAAATAAAAGCCAAAGTCTTTACCGGGGCATCCGAGGCCCTATGATCTGGTCCCCTGCCTATCTCACTGGGCTCCTGTGCCACGGGCCACTGCCCCCAGGGCACGCGGGACTCCTGCTGTCCTCCCAGCCTTTGTGCAAAGGCCTCTGCGCTTCCTGCTCCGCCTGCCTGGACTGCGCCTTCCCCGGAGCGCAGGCATCTTTTTTCTCTTTCGTTCGCCTCTGCGTCCGCAGCGCCTACCACACGGTGCCCCCGGGCAGGCACCACACGAAATCTTTGTAGAACGAATCAATCAGTCAATCGATGAATTCTCTGCAGCTCGCCAGGAGAGGTCTGAACATTGTCCTCATCAGTCGAAGCCTGAGCAAGTTGGACTACGAGGCAAAGGAGATAGGTGAGAGCCAGGGGGGGCCGCGCTGGGGAAGTTGGGGACAGTGCCCGGGGCGAGACCCCGGCCAGGGCGGGGGCGTGGTCAGAGGCGTGGCGCGGCCTTGGCGAGAGGGTGGGGGCGTGGCCAGGGCGCGAGCGGGGCGTGGCCGGGGCGTGGTCTGGGCGGGGGCGGGGCCGGGGCCCCCAGTGGTCGGGGGCGCGGCCATGGCGGAGGCGGGGGCCTGGGAAGGCATGGGGCAGAGGCTTGGGCTGGACAGGCACAGGGATGGGGTTGGGCCAGAGGTGGGACTGGATTCCAGCTGAGGGTCTGGCTCCCGCTGTCCCCGCTTCCCAGAGCGGCTTCATGGCAGGATCACACGAGTCATCCAGGCCGACTTCACCGGGGGCCTGGAGATCTACGGCGCCATCGAGGCAGGACTGAAGGACCTGGAGATCGGAGTGTTGGGTAAGTCCCCGTGCCTGCTCGGGGGCAGCCCTTCCCTCCACTGCCCCCAAGGTCACCGTGACCTGGGACCCTTTTGTGGTGGCCCTCCCTCTGCCCCGACCTGGTCTCCCTGGGCCTGTTGGAGTGACTCAGACAATTTGTCCCCTCTCGCTCAGTGAACAATGTGGGCATGCTGTATACACCTGGCTTCAAGAAACTGCTCGACTGTGACAATGTCGCCAAAGTGAGTGAAACCGAGGACAGGACTGGCCTCTCCAGCCCCTCCTCTCACGCTACTGCCCTCTGTTGGAAAACTCACGCAGTGCGCTACCCATGTTAGAACAAGGTACTCTATTGCCTTCCGCTGGAAAATTGTCTTAAAACCTACAGATCTTATGATGTCTGGGACGTGAAGGCGGTCTCCTTCGACGGGGCGCCCTTGTGCAGTGCCCAACCGGCACGACTGTTCAAGTTGAGCCTGCTTCTGCCCTTTCCTATTCCCTGGTGCTCACTAAGGGGACCCACGTGGGAAAGGGGACCCACATGAGAAAACCAGTGCCTGCCTTGTGGAGCGTGTGGCTTTCTAAATTTTTATTTGGGATCATTCTTGAACCCACAGCTTCTTTTCTCCTAATCACCTGTGCATATAGCCCCATGGTATTTCTTAGGAGAGTCCAGTAGTCACTTGGACCTCAGTTTCTGCTGCCAACCTCTGTTGTTAAATTAATTGTTTTCTTTGTCTTTTAAATTATATCAAAGTTATAAAGAGTCAAATAGTTCTACAAGGGTTGTTGAAGAAAACGGCATACGCCATTCTCATCTCCTATTCCACAGAGCAGGGTTTCTCAACATCCACCCTGCTGACATTTGGGCTCATGGTTCCTTGTCGTGGGGGCTCTCTTGTGCCCTGTAGGCTGTTCAGCAGCATCCCTGGCCTCTACCCACCACATGGCAGCAGCATCCGCCCTCCAGCTGTGATAACAGAAAATGGCTCCACTCACGCCCGAATATCCCCTGGGGAGAAAACCCCACCCGGCTGAGAACCACTGCCCTGGAAGCTACCGCTTTCAACCTGAAAAAGTATATAATTCATCCTTTCAAATAATCCTGTTTAGAGGGTACATCTTGATTTCTCAGCTTTAGCCCTTATCTGGTGACTACCCCCAGCGGAAGAGGAGGATTATTTCTGGTTCGCAGACACCGGTGCCGCCACCACAAACACACACCCAGGCCTCCCATCCCCCAGGATAATGTTTCATAGGTGTGGCTGCAGAATCACATTACTGTGCATTTGAAAATGCTGTCCATGGTGGCGCCATGTAGTTTTCCTTTCTATAACAACTTTTTATTCTCCCTGGAGTTAGTGATTGCCTCGATTTTTCATCTGCTTGGATTGCTATGTGCTTATCATTACTTCAACTCCGAATTGTAATCCAAAAATATAAAAATGTTCCAGGCAATTTCATCTTCTTGAAGGAATCTCTCCAAGAGCCTTCTGTCCTGCTCCAGTCTGGACTGGTTACCCTCTGTGTCACAAATCCTGGGACCTCTCTTTATCTTTCTCCTAGGAAGCCCCTATTTTCTCTATCACATGTTATAGCTTCCTTCGGTTTACTCCCTCATTTTGTTGGAGCATGTCCTCCAGTAGCATTCTGAGAAAGGGTGCATGGATGGTAAAAATTTCAGCTCTGTTTTCTATCAGTTACGCAACTTTGCATACATGACTTCATTTCTCTGAGCCTCAGTTTCATGTCTATAAAATGAAAATAAATATTTTTGCTGGGCTCACAGAGCTGTTATGACAATGGAATGAAATAATGAACATAAATCTAAGTTGTGCACTCCATCAATGTTGGCTATTACTATTAGACATAGACAAAACAGAAGATCAGGGTGGTTTTTAAATTTTAAATATTATTATTTCAAGAGGAAAACATATGCTCATTTTATAAAACGTAACGAGAGGGTAGCTGGGTATTCTGCTTCTGGTATTAGAGGAAGTTGTTGGAGGCTAACGCTGTGAATGAGAACCATTAGGAAAGCGGGATACAATGTTATAAAAAATAACTGGAGACATCACAGAGCTAGGAAGGCAATGAAGAACCTAGCACCAAGATTTGAGGGAGGAGAGAACCCAAGAAGGGAATTTGACATTTGGAGCAAAATTTCACTTCAAGGTGGCTCAGAGTTTAAGAACCGAAGCACAGCTTTCAACCTACTCTTGCTCCAACGAATAATGTAGTTCAAAGCTTTGGGAAATATCCCAAGTTTTAAGATGGTACCCTGAGAAACTATCAATTAGGAGTTGGGGTAAAGTAGAATAAACTAGGTTGCATGGGAACTGAAACAGAGTTTCCAGTGAATTCCATTCCCGTCGGGATTAATGTGACCTGATATTTCAGCGCCCCCTAGTTTAGCTGGCTGGAAGCACAAAAAACCAACACATCATCTTTAGACGAAAACAATATAGTTCAGAGCCTCAAATTAGCCATACGATTTTTTATGTATTAAATATCCAGCACTCGACAAAATATAACCAGGAATCTTAGGAGAAAAATCATGACAGAAAACAAAATAAATAATACATCATGTAATTTAGTCCACATGTGACCAAGATAATGGAAATATCAGCATAGATTTTTTTAAAATTGTGGTAAGCTTTATATAATATCCAAACAGAAACTCTGGATGTATTAAACCATAACTCCTCATTCTTCCCTACTCCCAACCCCTGTCCTTTCTGTCTCTATGAATTTGCTGATTCTAAATACCAGTGGGATCCTAGAATATTTTTCCTTTTGTGTCTGGCTTAGTTCACTCAGCATAATGTTTTCCATTTCATCCCTGTTGTAGCAAGTATCACAACTTCATTCCTTTTATTTTCTTTATTTTTTAATTGTGACAAATAGACATAAAATTGGCCATTTTTACATTTATTTACATGGACAGGTCAGTGGCATTTTGTACACTCACATTGTTGTGAAACCATCACCACCATCCACCTCCAGAACTTTTTCAATACCTCCCCCTTCTTCCCTAGCCCCAGCTCCTGGAAGCCACCATTCTAATTTCTGTCTCTGTGAATGTGACTACACTATGTACCTCGGATAAGTGGAATCGTACAGTATCTGTCCTTTTGTGCCTGAAATTTCATTTAGAATAATATTTTCAAGGCTTATCCCTGTTGTAGCATGTATCACAATTTCCTTCCTTTTGAAGGCTGAGTAGTATTCTCTTGTATGGATACACCACAATTTGTTGATCCACTCTTCCATTGATGGGCACTCTGGTTGTTTCCACCTTTGGGCTGTTATGAATAATGCCGCTATGCACATTGGGGTACAAATATCTGTTTGTGTCCTTGCTTTTAATTCTTTGGGGCATATACCCAGAAGTGGAAATGATGCATGCAAGATTGGTTTGGCTATTCAGGGTCTCTTGAGATTCCCTATGAATTTTAGGGTGAGTTTTTCTATTTCTGCAGAAAATGCTCTTTGGATTTTGATAGAGATTGTGTTGAATCTGTAGATCGCTTTGGGTAGTAATGACGTCTTAGCAGTATGAAATCTTCCAATCCATGACCGCGGGATGTCTTTCCAATTAATTATCTCTTCTCTAATGTCTTTCAGTGATGTTTTGTGGTTTTCTGTATATGAGTCTTTCCTCCTTGGTTAAGTTGATTCCTAAGTATATTTATTCTTTTTGATGCTATCATAAATGGAATTGTTTTCATAACTTCCCTTTCGGATGGTTCGTCATTAGTGTATAGAAACGCAACTAATTTTTCAATGTTGATTTTTGTATCCTGCTGCTTTGTGAATTCACTTTATAGTTCTCACATTTTTTTGCGTGAAATCTTAAGGATTTTCCACATATAAGATCATGTGCAAACAGATAACTTTGCTTCTTCCTTTCCAATTTGGATGCCTTTGTTTTTTTTTTTTTCTTGCCTGATTGCTCTGGCTAGAACTTCCCATACTATGTTGAATAGAAACAGCAAAAAGCAGAAAATGCTTTCAGTATTTCATCATTGGGTATGATGTTAGCTGTGGGCTTTTCGTATGTTTGTTATTCGTATCTTTATTATGTTGAAGTAGTTTCCTTTTATTCCTAATTTGTTAATTAATCATGAAAGAGTGTTGAATTTTGTCAAATGCTTTTTCTACATCAATTGAGATGATCCTGTGACTTTTCCCCTTTATTCCATTAATGTGTTGTATTACACTGATCAATTTTCATATGTTGAACCATCTTTGCATTCCAGGAGTAAATCCCACTGGGTCATGGTGTATCCTTTTAATATGCTGATGAAATCAGTTTGCTAGTATTTTGTTGAGGATTTTTTGTGTGAATGTTTATAGGGGATCTCAGTCTGTTGATTTCTTTTCCTCTGATGTCTTTGTCTGACTTTGGTGTCGGGGCAATGCTGGGCTTACAGAAGTTAGGAAGTATTCTCTCCTCTTCAATTTGTTGGAAGAGTTTGTGAAGGGTTGGCATTAGCTCTTTAAATGTTTGGTAGAATTCATCAGTGAAGCCGTCTGTCCAGGGATTTTCTTTCTTGGGAAATTTTTGATTACTGGCTACTGATTCAATCTCCTTACTACTTACGAGTCTATCCAGATTTTCTGTTTCTTCCTGATTCGCTTTTAGTAGGTTTCGTATTTCTAGGAATTTGTCCATTTTACCTAGATTATCCAATTTTTTGGCGTGCAGTTGTCTGTAGTGCTCTCTTATCATCTTTTTTGCTTCTGTAGAATCAGTAGTAATGTCCCACTTTTGTTTCTGATTTTATTAATTTCAATGTTTTTTCTTTTTCTCTTAGTCAGTCTAGATAAATGTCAATTCTGTTAACCCTTTCAAAGAAGCAACTTCCGGTTTCACTGATTTTCTTTGTTATTTTTCTATTCTCTCTTTTATTTTTCTCTGCTCTAATCTTTATTATTTATTTTATTCTGTTAGCTCTGGGTTTAGTTTGTTATTTTTTTTCCTACTTCCTGAAGGTATAGAGTTGTCGATTTGAGATATTTTTTTCTTTTAATGGAAGTATTTACAGCTATAAGTTTCCCCCTTAGCACTGCTTTCCCTGCATCCTGTAAGTTTTGCTATGTTGTGTTTTTATTTTCATTTTTATTTGTCTCTAAATATTTTTTAATTTCCTTTGTGATTTCTTTTTTGACTCATTGGCGTTTAAGAATTGTAGAAGTTCAATATGTATTATGGATATTAATCCCTTATCAAATGTAT